GACTGGATTAAGAAAATATGGCACATATACACCATGGAATACTATGCAGTCATAAAAAAGGATGAGTTCATGTCCTTTGTAGGGACATGGATGAAGCTAGAAATCATCATTATGCGCAAACTATCGCAAGGACAGAAAACCAAACACTGCATGTTCTCACTCCTAGGTGGGAATTGAACAATGAGAACACCTGGACACAGGAAGGGGAACATCACACACCAGGGCCTGTTGTGGGGTGGGGGGATGGGCGAGGGATAGCATTAGGAGATATACCTAATGTAAATGACTAATCGGTGCAGCACACCAACATGGCACATGTATACATATGTAACAAACCTGCATGTTTTGCACATGTACCCTAGAACTTAAAGCATAATAATAATAAAAAAAGTTTTCATGTTAGTTTTCACTTTTTTCTTGTAGTTCCTTGAGTAACTTAATAATAAACACTTTGAATTAGTTATCTGGTATTTCAAAGATTTCATTGGTTTGGATCCACTGCTGGAGACTCAATGTGAGCTTTTGAAAGTTTTATAAAACCCTGTTTTTTCATACGGCCAGAATTATTTCTCTGGTTCCTCCTTATTTGGGTAGATCCGCCCGTCTTGGCCTCCCAAAGTGCTGGGATTACAGGCTTGAGCCGCCACACCCGGCCATACCTTTCTCATTCTTATTCTCTTTTTTTCAGACAAAGGTTCTCCTCCACCACAGAATCGAATTCCTACTGATCCTCCCTGCCTCAGCCTCCCCAGTAGCTGTGACTACAGACATTCACCACCACACCTGGCTAATTTTTAAAATTATTTTTTTAGAGATGTTGCCCAGGCTGATCTCGATCACCTAGGCTCAAGCAATCCTTCTGTCTTGGCCTCCCAAAGTGCTGGGATTACAGGCATGAGCCACCAGGCCTGGCCTGCATTCCTTCTTACCACCTTTTTACCAGCTGGTTTGCTCTTCCGATATTGCTTTCATCTATATTTCTTCTTGCTGATCTTTTTCTCCGTTTACAGGATTCCATGTGACCTCGCTCCCGTGTGACCTTATTCTCCCGTGTTAGTTGACTGGATGGGTGGACGTAGCTGACTGACCCGATGGAATGTGGTGGGACAGATGAACTGGGCTAATTAGAGTACTTTGTGGACTTAGAATTTGTGTAATCGAAGACTAAACTGTGTGATGTTGATAACTACAGCCGAGCAGATAAGAATCAGGGAGGCCCTGTAGGTTCTGTACAGTGAGAAGTGATACAGCCAAGTGAAAATGGTGGCAAAGATAAACTGGAAAGGAGGAGAATGGAACACATGGGGAGAAGCAGAGAGAAGAGAAGAAAGAACAGGGAGGGAACTGAATCTATTCTTGGCTCTCAGCCACAGGTCTCTGTGCTCTTTGAGGCCAGCTACTTGGGTTCCTCTCCTTTGGTTGCTGCAAGAGTCTTTGGTAATCTACAATAAACATTTGTTTCTTGTACTAGCTTTAATTGTCCTCTGTTTCTTGGAACAAAAATAACTCTAATCAAAGCACTTCAAGCTGTCCCCTCACCCCCCACCCCACTCTGTGGTGCTATTCTGTGGTCAACACAGCACGATATTTAGAAAATTCATACTTTGTTCATAAGTAGTTTTGATTTCTTTAGAAGAAAAAACAATGCATCCATTTAGCACTATTCATGGACTACATGCATGCAAAACACCATGATGAAGCTGGACTCACCGACTTTCAACCTGCCTGTGACCTCCCCTTCTGAGTTGCGTGCATTTACAGTCACATTCTGGGTTGATTGTAGAAGCAGAGATGAGTCCTAGAAAGGGATTTATAAAATTTGCAAAATACTGCTGTTTAAAATGATTACATCTTTATAATTCTATGTCAATTTAGGATTTATGTAAAATTATTTACCCATTGTCACAGATCCTGGAAATTCTATAAATTTCTGGCTAAGACAATTAAAAGTCCTGAGTCATTTTTTTTTTAACGTTTTGAGTACTTATTGAAAGATAAAAGAATAACAATCATAAAATGAGACCCAAATGCAAGATAGGGATAGAAAAAATATGAATTATTTAGAGAAATATGCAATTTAACAGAGCTATATGGTCACAACTATGTCAAGGAAAGACACCAACAACGGTGGGGTTCTAGCTAATAGAAATGACATATACTTTTTCCTGCTACACTCGATTTCCATAGTTTTGTAATACATTTGTATTTTTATAGTGTGTAAAGTAAACTTTATCAAAATAAAAAAATCGATGTATACAGCAGAGTTATAATTACAGACACATTTGTGGTATTGACCGCTTTGTTCTTGCTCGCCAAGTTAAAAATAAACTAAGCATTTAACTTAGGACGTTAGAAAATACACAATAAAACAGACATCAGAGAATAGAAAGAAAAATAAATTTCAAAGCACAGTTTTATGTATCAGTAAACAATAGTTTTGAAAAAGCACATGCAGTCTGAGTTGGTTATTTAAAACAAACAGAATTAAACTTAAACAAAAAATAGCGAAAACAATGTATTTAAATCATAAATTCTGAGGAAGTAAAATGTATAGCTATGCTAACTATGAAGGGAATAGTATTAATTAGCAGAACTGACTTAAGTACAATGCTGGAATTGGCCAATAACTACGGAAATATTAGAGAACACTGCCAAAGAGCTACTCCAAATGTTAGCGATTGTCTCTTGGTGGGTAGCATTATGGGCTATTTTACTCCCTCTTTGTGTGTGTGTGTGTGTGTGTGTGTGTGTGTGTGTGTGTGTGTGTGTGTGTGTTTTAAATTTTTACTTCTTACTTTTTTCCCCACTACAAGCTACTTTAATTCCTTGAACAACTTTTCTACGCAGGTAAAGTATTACCATATTTTCCTATTAAGATAAATTTTCGATAGATTTTTTTTCTACAATAAAATTTACTAAAAACATTTGGTTCACTAATTTTTGTCTAGATGAATGCTGTCCATAGTGGCTTTTGAAAATCTGAGTTTTCTTTGATGACCACATTTCTACCAAGATCAATTTTCCTGAGTCAAATTTTGTATATCCAGTATAGCATAGTATAGTACAGTATAGTATAACCTTTTACTTTTAATATATTTGTTTCTAGGCAAGCTTTTGCATTCCTTGTGGAAGAGGCACATGCACCAGCACTGCACATTTTCTGGCTATGTGTCTTGGACGTGGCCTCACAACTGTCTAGTGATTATGAGGGGCAGACCGGTGGCTGGCGGATACTCTGGCCCTAACATGGTTTAGTGCTGAACCGAAGCTTCAGCTGCCCCCTCCAGCTTCCTGTTATGTGAGACTAAAAGCGCCTATTAGTTTATTCCATGGCTAGCTGGGTATTCTGGGTTCACAGGGTAAAGATCTTTTAACTGATGCAGTGACAGAGCAGAAGTGGCTCTGTGTCTATATTACCAACAAAACTGTATTCGTAACTGCTACAATAATGCAATCTCTAATATTGAATTGTACTTGCTCTTTAATCTACATTTTTAAGAAGTACCTTAAAACAATCAACACGTACATTTTTAATAAAACTGATGTTCATTGTGAAGTCCAGAGACTTTATTTTCATGTTCTAGGTAAGAAAACTGAAGTCTATAGATTGTGAATGCAATTTTCAGGTTTTTGTTTTTTGACTTTTTAAAACAATTTTTATTGTATTAAAAATATATACGCTATGCATATAAGTTATACATAGCATAAAATTTACCATTTTAACCATTTTTAAGTGTATCGTAGATTGACATTAGGTATATTCACAGTATTGTACAACCACCACTACTATCATTTCTAAAATTTTACATAAGGGATTTTTGGTTTTTATCATTAGCTAATGACGCCTTTAAGAAAAACTTTACGCCATTTAGAGAATGACAGCAAGGTATAAGGAGAACATTTTACTTTTCTATTCATATCAGTTGACCTCTGAATGTACCTGTTTGAATACAGATGTTGTGTCAACACTACACCTTAGGGAGTAGTGAAAGAGTCATAGAACATAGAACTTTTTATTACCTTTCTCAACAGTGTGTGACACATAGAAGGAGCTACGAAAGAGGTGTATAAAAAGACCGTTAACAATATAAGGGGTAACTGGTATGACCCAAAGATAAATCAAAACTGCTATAGGAGTTATCAATACCCTATGAGGTTGATGAGGTTGAAAGTTTTAAGATACTTTTTAAAAATGTAGATTAGAGGGCAAGTATAATTCACTACTTCATTTACATACATAATTAACTACTTCAAACTTGAACCTAATATGGGAATGGCAGAAACTAATTTAATGATTAAAGCAGCAACCTATGTTAAGAATTCTATCAAATAGTACATGGGAAAATTACGTTTATTGGCATAAAGTTATTCGTAATATTTCCTTCCCATTCTTTGAATGTCTGTGGGATTCATAGTGGTGCCCCTTCTAGCACAGCTGATATTGATCATTTGTGCCCTCTCTTTTTAAAATATTCAGTCTGGTTCAAGGTTTATCAATTTTTATTGATCTTCTGAAGGAATCCGTTTTGGGTTTCATTAATTTCCTCTATTGTTTTATGTTTTCTGTTTTGTTGATTTCTTCTCTCGTCTTTCTTTTCTTCTCTGACTTTTGGTTTATCATGAAGGGATGCTGAATTTTATCAAATGCTTTTTCTGCATCTATCGAGATGATCAAATGGTTTTTGTCCTTCATTCTATTGATGTGATGTATGGTGTTAATTGTTTTGCAAATGTTGAATCATCCTGGCATTCTTGGGATAAATGTGTTGTATTTGGTTTGCTAATATTTTGTTGTGGATTTTTACATTTATATTCATCAGAAATATTGGTCTGTAGTTTTCTTTTTTGTTGTGTTCTGGCTTGGTTTTGGTATCATGGCTATGCTGGCCTTGTGTAATGAGTTACAAAGAATTTCCTCTGCTTCAAGTTTTTGAAAAAGTTTGAGAAGGACTGGTATTAATTCCTCTTTAAAGGTTTGGTAGAATTCAGCAGTGAAGCCCTCTGGTCCTGGACTTTCCTTTGTTGGGAGACTTTTTATTACTAATTCAATATTGTTACTCAATATTGGTCTGTTTAGATTTCATGTCTCTTCTTGTTTCAATATAGGAAGGTTGTATGTATCCAGATATTTATCCATTTTCCCTAGGCTTTCAAATTTATTGACATATACTTGTTCATGGTAGCCTCTAATGACGTTTTGTATTTCTGTGGTATCCATTATGATGTCTCCTTTTTCATTTATGATTTTATTTGTTTGGATCTTCTCTCTTTGATTTTTGGTCTAATGTACTCTTTTTCTAGTTTCTTAAGGATGAAACTGAGGTCATTGATTTTCTTCTTTTTTTTTTTTCTGAGATGGAGTCTCACTCTGTTGCCCAGACTTGAGTGCAGTGGTGTGATCTTGGTTCACTGCAAGCTCTGACTCCTGGGTTCATGCCATTCTCCTGCCTCAGCCTCCCAAGTAGCTGGGACTACAGGCACCCACCACCATGCCTGGTTAATTTTTTGTATTTTTAGTAGAGACGGGGTTTCACTGCATTAGCCAGGATGGTCTCTATCTCCTGACCTCGTGATCTGCCCACCTCGGCCTCCGAAAGTGCTGGGATTACAGGCGTGAGCCACTGCACCCGGCCAATTTTCTTCTTTTTTAATATATGCATTTAATGCCATAAATTTCCCTATAAGCACTGCTTCAGCTATATCCCCCCAAATTTGATGTTATTGTTTCCTTAACTTGTCATTCAGTTCAAAATACTATTTCCCTTTGGATTTCTTCTTTGACCCATGGTTTATTTGCAAATTTTTATATAATTTCCACTTATTCAAAAAGTTTTCAGACATATTTGTGTTATGGTTATCTTATTAAATCCACTGTGGTCAGATAACATGTTGGAACACTTGAATGTTTTTAGATTTATTGAAAATGTTTTATGGTTCAAAATGTGATCTATCTTGATAAATGTTTTCCCTGTGCACTTGAAAAGAACTCTTTGTCTGCTATTATTGAGCAGCATGCTTGAAAATTTAATTATGTCAAGTTGGTTGATAGCATTGCTCAAGTCTATATGCTTACTGTTTCTATATCCATTTCTCCTATCAGTTATTGAGGGAGGGGTGCTGAAATCCCTGAGTCTAAATGTGAATATTTCTGTTTTTTTTCTTACATTCTATCAGTTTTTGCTTCATGTATATTGATGCTCTGATAGTGGATTCATGTGTTTAGCAACATATATATTGAAGAATTTACTTCTATGTCATCTTAAATGACCCTCTGTACCTCTAAAATATTTATCTCTTTGTTCTGAAATCTACTCTGTCTGTTTTAATATAGTCACTCCAATTTTCTTTTCATTAGTGTTAGTATAGTATAGCATAGTATAGTACAGTATAGTATAACCTTTTACTTTTAATATATTTGTGTTTTTATAATTAAGGTAGGTTTCTTGTAGACGGCATATAGTTGGATCTTGCTTCTGTGTTCAGTTTCACAGTCTGTCTTTCAGTTGGGATGTTTTGACCATTTATATTTAATGTGATTATTTTAATGTGTTTATCATTTCATTTTTATCTCCTTAGTTAATGTATTAGCTATACTTTTTATGAGTTTACTTTAGATATACTAAGCATCTTTAACTTATTGTGGTCCATCCTCAATAATTTTTTGCCACTTCATGTGTAATGTGAGAACTTCTACCTTTAGCAATACTTCTACCTTTTCCTGTTATGGTATTTGTTTCATTATTCTCATACACTTTATTTCTATCCTGTTACAACATCCCAAATACATTGTTATTCTTT